TCCTCTAATCTGCTGTTATTCCCTCTAGTGCATTTTTAATTTATTATTGAATTTTTCACCTGTTTCTTTTTTGTTTTCTACTTGAAGTTCTCGTTGAGTTCATCCATTCTTTCCTCAAGTCCAGGGAGTAGCTTTATGACCATTATTTTCAATTCTTTATCAGGCATATTGCTTATCACAGTTTAATTTAGCTCTTTTTTTCTGATACTGTTTTAGTCTTTCATTTGGTACATATTCCTCTCATTTGCTTAACTTTGTTTCCATGTATTAGGTAAGTCAGCTACATCTCCTGGTCTTGAAAGTGGTGGCCTTGTATAGAAGAGGTCCTGTGGTGCCCTGTAGCACAATCCCTAGTCACCAGAACTGAGAGCTGCAGTGGTGTCTCTTCTGTGGGCTGCTTGTGCCCTGCTGTTGTGGCTAAGCCACTTGTCTTTATCTCAGACTGCTGTAATGACCCACTGCCTGCTATAAGCAAACTGGGCAGGGTTTGGTCCCTCTGCTGATAACAGAACTGTCTAGGCCATTGTGGTGGGCAAGGCTGGCAGTCAAGGTAACTGAAATTAGCCTCTCTGCCAGTTGCAGGCACACCAAAAGGTAAGGCTTGCTTCCTACAAGGCCAACTGAAAGGCTTTCATTGGTAGGCTGCAATCAGACTAAGCATCTGCAGTTACCCTCTTTGCCACAGCAGGTGCAAAAGCAGTTGAGCTTCCTCCCTGTGCAGCCAGCTAAGAGGCTCAGTTGGTGAAACTGCAGGCACACTGGTGTGTGGGGTTATCCCCCTTCTCCTCACTTTGGAGTGGTGCTGGTCGGACTTTCAGGGGGCTGGATGCCTACTGAGGAGGGTGGGTCTGTGGGGCAATCCAGGGGCAGGGCATGTAGTGCTAGCAAGATAGGTGGAGAGTGTTAACAATGACTCACACAAGTATCAGGTTTTCCTGTCTGGAGAAGAGAAATGGTGCCTGCTGGTTCTCCACCCCTCCCCCCCACCGCACCCCCCAGAGAAATCTAAAGATCCCTGGCCTTCCAGTGCACATTCTGAAATTAGTAAATCAATCTCCTTCACATATACCCCAGGCACTTTTCAAATTGCTGCTTCTGTGCTGTCTTGAGTTACTAAGCTGACTCTTTAAGGGCAGGGACTCATTTTCCTATTGCCCTCCTGCTCTCCCAGACTTAAGGTGGCTGATCTTTAAAGTATGTTTTTAAAGCCCTGCTTATTTTAAATGCTCCTGAAGTTAAACACCACTGGTTTGCAAGGCCACATAAGGGGACTGGTCTTCCCAGTGTGGGTCCCCTGTGCCTGGAGTGCCTGGTATGAGGTCTCATCCTTTTCGCTTCTCCATTCTGGTGGTATCCCTCCCATTTGTGGTTACTCTCACCAGGGTTTTGGTTTCCACTCTTCATACCTTTTTCAATGTGATCTCCTCTCTACAATGGACTGTGGGAGGTCTGTTCTACCAGTCTTCAGGATGTTTTCAGAGTTAGCTGTATAAATACAGCTGCTATGTTGGTGGCCTGTGGGATGAGGTGAGCTCAGGTTCCTCCTACTCTGCCATCTTCTCTCTTCCCTGAACTTTCTCTCTTCCATTCACTCAATAAGGGTAGTTGAAGATTAAAAAAAATCTTTAAGAATTTTATCAAGGAGCAAATTCCAACAGGTTGAATGACTAATGGAAAGTTTGCTACTTTAGAACACTAACTCTGTCAGGCAAGTAGTCTTTCCCCCATTTGACATAAGTTTTGGTTGAGAAAAGCAATTTTTTCATGATTATATAACATGCCAACCATGAGCGTTCAAACACAGATCTGCCTGAGAAAGCCACTTTCTACTATTCCAATAGTAGACAAATTTTAGCATGCTTTAGAATATCTAACTATTGGGGTGCTCAATCCAAATACAGATCCAGATGGCCTCTTGGAATATGTATCTTTTATAAACACACCAGGTAAATGCGATGTGGTCCAGGATCCATACTTTAGAACTAGAGTCCATTAACTCTGAAAACTGCCTACTCAAGAAAATCAGAAATCATGTATCTTTAAATTAGTATTTGTTATTATTATCTGGCTATACACCAGCTATTCCTTAGCTACTAGAGTCCTAGAAGTCTTACCCAAGAGGCTATATGATAGAATATCCCAGGAACATTTTATAAGTATAGAGGATTCTTGTTAAATTTGAATCTGGTAAAAATAATAAACCTACCTTCCCTGAATTAACCATAAGATATAATTCATCATGATTGGGGCACTATTAATTATGTCAAAACAGTAGGAATTAATTAATTGGAACCATCCCGAGCAAACCAAGATACCTGAAGGAAAAACCAAACTAACTTTTTCTCACCATGTCCTACAACTATTAAGTATTTTTATAAACTCAATACCATGTTCCTATTCAAAAAAAATTAGTAGGTTTACCATTTGTTTCATTTTATTTTGATGAATATTATTTACAAAGAAGAAAAAACCACTTTTCTTGTTTGTACAAAGTCAATCCAAAATGGAGATGTATTTGTGAAGTACTAAAAGAGAACACCAAGGGACAGAAGATCTGCATTCAAATTAAAATGTCATTTTGTAGCTATGACCTTGGATTATTTTTCTTACTTGGGCCTCAGTTTCATCATATGTAAAATAAGGAATATCCACTAAACAACCACTTTAGAATTATCAGTGGATCAAATGAGGTAACAAGCATTCTGAAAGTATCTCAAAATAGCTGGAAAATGTTATAATTAAAGACAAAATAAATTTGAAGGGAAACATTACAAGACATATCTTCTCACAGCAGCTGTAATGATATTACTAGATGTTTACAGATTGTTTTTGATGTAAATGTTGCCACTTCCCTCATTGTATTCCCCCAGAAGGATGGGATTCTAGATCTCTCAGGAGCCACAGGATTGACAGTGAGTATTGTTTAAGATAGAAAGTCCCTGACAGTTGTCTTCATTGTTAGATTATACTTATCAAAAAGAAAAAAATACCATTACCTTCAGTACCTGTAGAATCGGACATGACTTTCAAAAGTACAATCTTACTACCTTCTCACTACATAACAGCTACTGTGGTGAGTTCTCTGGCCCCATCCTTAGACTCAAGGATGGCCGAGTCAGCACCAAGAAATTCTTACAGACTGATTTTGTGAAGAATGCCTGTGACCAAGTGCCAGCACCTTCAAGAATTAGGACTGGCCCAGATGCTAATTATCCATATGATCTTAGGCAAGATGTACTTATAAAATGAGGTGATAGTCTTAGAGGATCATCCTGACATTCTAGAAGTCTCAATGACTACCATCTTGGGTATTTTCCTATTCTTTGTCATAACAGAAAAAAAAATCAGTTAAGCAGATATAGATGTTTTAAATAGATTTAAAACAGTTTCAGGATACATTGGAACTGATTAAAAGATAAAATCTTTTCCACATGAAGTGAAATCGTAGTTGTAAACAAACTAAGAAACATTTGTTTTACAAGATAATTTGCCATATGACCTCAAGGTATTAGACAATTTTTAAAGGCCTTATAATTTCTGAATTTTTCAATTGAGAGATTCTTGGCATTTTAAGTGTCTAGAAGACTGCCTTCATTTTTGGATATTTTCTTCTACATTTTCCAGTCTATTATCATTACAGAAGAAAACATTTAGCATACAATTACAGAAATAGATAATTAAACAGATTTAAAGTAACTTCAAGATACATTTACACTGAAATATACAGAGAAAATAGCTGAGTCAAAACACGCATTCACAGTCTCAATTTCATTAACTTATGGAAACTATTTAAATATGAACCGGGTAACATCTTACATGGTAACTGAATTCTTTAGATTTAACTAGAGACCTGTATAACACTTACAACATTTACACAATACTATTTTCAAAATAGGGTTTTGACCTCTAAGAATAAAAGTTCTTAGTGACAAACTTTAGGCAGCAGCTTAGCCCAGTGGATATTAACTTTGTTCTAAGAAGCAGCTACATATAAACAGTCCCTCATACCCTGCAGCAAGACAAAAGTGATATTAAGAAACTTTTAAGGCAGAAAAAAAGAATCCTACAAGTGTAAGGTCCAATGACAATGTTTACAAATGAACATAAGATCTCAATTATTAACTGAGCAAGTGACTTAATTTACACATTAACTCCTTTCCTGTTTCAGATTCTGGGAATATTTATGCTTACCCTATTGTGCAAGGCATTGAGAACACAGAGGAGGATCGGAGGATCGGACATGGTTTCAGTGGTGGGCTGGTATACGTTTAACAAACCCCTTCTTGGGAAGAGAATCCTTTACTTATAATATTTATGGATCCCTATGGTATAAATACTCCTATGTCCCATTTCAAGCTACCAACAATCTGGTAACTGGCTCACAAAATTCCTAACAATTCAACAGTCATCTCTTACAAACTATTATTAGCTAAGCTCCAATACACTACTGTATGGTCCCCACCCTCAAGTAGCTCGTAATCTCTTTGTGGGTACACACTTAAGAGGCTAGACAAGAACAGGGAAGATAGGGATAAAATTTAAACAATTCAGTTACAGAATTTGTAAGCAGTTTTAAAACTCAAAAGGAACAAAATCTGTGTAATTTTTGTACTTGTTTTCTATTCCACTTTTCCTTTTAATTTCAGAAAATTAAAATGCAGCATGTTTTCAGTAAAGGGTAAGTGGAATAAGAAGGAAAAAGACAAGAAAAAACATCCCAAGATTTATGTTAACAGTGATGTTTCCATCAGAAGAAAATGCTTACTAAGATAAGGGCAAATATAACTTTTAAAATTTAAGCCCTTTCAGTTCAGTTCCAAGTCCTGAAGATTTATCCTGTCCTCTTTGGCTGCAGCTTTGATGAGATTAGTATCGTGCAAAAGAAGCTAGCTAAAGAACACACTTCTTCACACCACTCACACTATCAGCTCATAATAAAAGGCAAAACTAAATTCTGGAATATGATAACTGAACTTCTTTTGCATAGTCACCTTCTTGGATCATATCTTGGGTAAGTGCCGGCTGGGGTGACCAGGAAATTCTTCTGGTAACAAAACATGGAGTCTACAGGTTGGGCACGTCCCCTGTTGCATCAGCCAAGGTCTAATGCACTAAGGAGCAAAAATATTCATGTCAGACTCTCAGAGTTAGACTAACAGAGGTAACTGCTACACTATATAATCAGTTACCAGCCAACATGTCTTCTGGTGGATCTTAAAACCTTATCTAGTAGATTGCCAAGCCAATTGCTGCAATAATGGCACCTTCTCTGATTCACTAAGCAATATAGCTGGTAATAGCAGAACACCTTTCGGCCAGTTTATTCTATTAGGATCCTTTCTCCAAACCCAATTTTCAGGATGAGTACCAATTCTTCCTAACAAAGAGGTTGAGGAAACCTGCCACATATTTTTCCTCTAGTTAATTATATATTGTTCTCATTTATAATCCAGAAAAAAATACAAAAGTGACTAATACCCTGTACCAAGTGCTAATGGTGTTTTGAATTTAAAATCCCTAGATGATGGATATACTTTTCAGATGTCTTTTTGGTGAAAATGGAAGTATTCTTTAGCTATGAACTATCTATTAAGTCATTCGCTTGAGTAAAAACTCTCCAAAAACAAATCAATTTTACCTGTATAAATAATGAGAGCCAGGTCAGATGAGAGAAGATTAGGAATAGGCACTATACCATTTGCAACTACGTGGATGGAACTGGAGGGTTTTATGCTCAGTGAGATTAGTCAGAGAAAGACAAATATCATATGACTTCGCTCATATGATGATTTCTAGGGGTAGATTCCTGAATGCCTCTCATACACATTTCTAGCTCCATCCTCCACAACCCCCCTCCAGTAACCTCTGTTTAGCCTACATTTAAGAGTCTCTTATGTTTTGCCTCCCGTTTTTATTATTTTTTGCTTCCCCTCACTCCAAGTTCATCTGTCCTGGGGAAGTCTTAAAGTCCTCATATGAGCTAAGTCATATGATATTTGTTCTTTCTCTGACTAATCTCACTGAGCATAAAACCCTCCAGTTCCATCCACGAGTTGCAAATGGTATAAGTGCCTATTCCTAATCTTTCCCTCATCTGACCTGGCTCTCATTATTTATACAGGTAAATTGATTACTTGGAGAGTTTTTACTCAAGTTTTAATGATGGGTTGAGATAGCTCATATTAAAGAATACTTCCATTTTCAAAAGACTTGAAAAGTGCTACATCCATCATCTAGGATGCAAACAAAAAACAATATTAGCACTTCAAAGGTATGAAATACTTTTGTATTTTTCGATTATAAACAGTGAACAATATATAACAACTAGAGGAAAAAATATGCAGGTTTTCAACTTGTTAGGAAGAATTGGTACTCATCCTGGAAAATGGGGCTTTTGTAGAAAGGATCCTAATAGAATAAACGCAGCGTGTTCTCGCTATTACTACAGTATTGGCTTAGTAACCTGAGAAGGTGCTATGCATTATTGGGTAAGTTAATGGCCGGGCAACTACTAGATAAGTAATTTTAAGATCCATCAGAAGACAATGTTTGCTGCGTAACTGATTATATAGTGTAGCAGTTACTCCTGTTAGTCGAATCCCTGGAGGAGTCTATGAATATTTTGCTCTTAGTAATAGACCGGTTGATGCAACAGGGGACGTGTCTTAACCCAGACCTGTCACGAAGAATTTTGGTCACCTACCGGCACTTTACTCCAAAGACATGGACCAAGGCGCACGGTGCAAAAGCAAGTCAGCTATCATATTCCAGAATTCTAGTTTGGCCTTTGAGCAGAGCTGATAGTGTGAGTAAAAGTGAAGAAGTGTGTTCTTGTTAGCTTTTTTTAACGATACTAATCATCAAAGCTGCAAAGTCAAAAGAGAATTTATATAAATCTTCAGACTGAACTGTTCATGTTTTAAATTTTAAAGTTATATTTGCCTCTTATCTTATAAAGGATTTTCTTCTGAGACATCAAATTTGGTAACATAAATCAGATGTTTTTTCTTTGTCTTTTTCCTTCTTTTTATTCCAAATTTTGGCTACTGAAAACATGCTGCATTTTACTTTTCTTGAAATTAAAAGAAGTGGAACAGAAACAAGTACAAAATTACACAGATTTTGCCCTTTGAGTTTTCAGTCCATGCTTTACAGTCTCTGAACTGAATTTGTTAAATTTTTATCCCTATCTTCCCTGTTCTTGTTCTTTTTAGCCTTCTTAAGTGTAAAATTCAATAAAGAGATTGATGAAAGGCCTTTGAGTGGTGGGGGGACCATACAGTGAGTGTATTGGAGCTTAGCTAATAGCTATTAATTTTAAAGGAGATGACGGGTTTAAAATGAAAGAGAATTTTGCAGCCACAATGATTTATATATTTTGAAGGGGACAGAGGAGAGTTTGTTCCATAGGGACCAGCAAATATTATATATGGAAGTGACGTCTTCTTCCCAAGGCTGAGCCAATGAGGCTCAGCTCCACCACTGTTCATAATGTCCCATTCCTCCTGACCTCCCCAGGTTCTCACGTTCTTGGTACAATATGCTACAACATTCTCAAGGGAATCTGGAAACAGGAAAAAGGAGGTAACAAGTCACTTCACCAGTTAATAAATTGAGATCTTTATGTTCATTTGTAACATTGCCACAATCTTACAATTGTAGGATTCTTTTTTTTCTGCCTTTAAAGTTTCTTAATATCATTTTGTCTTGCTGGTAAGGGTTTATGGAATTGCTTATATGTAGCTGTTTGTAATGTTATAATGACCCACCTGGGCTGTTTTCTGTCAACATAAGCTTGCCACTAAGAACTTTATTCTTAGAGGCCAAAACCCCTATTTGAAAATAGTATTGTGTAAATGTTGTAGGGCGTTATACAGGTCTCTAGTTAAATCTAAAGAATTCAGCTACTTCATGTAAGATGTTACCCTGTTCATATCAGTTTCAGCATATAATGAAATCTTTATTAATCTAGGAATGTTGTTTTGACTCAGCTATTTTCTGCAAGTACTTAGTGTGCAAATGTATCTTGAAGTTACTTGTAAATCTCCCACACTAGTCTATTCTG